ATGCAATTAAAATTAATATTTGTTTAAGCCAATATAGTATAGTATCAGTGTTTAAAGGATTATTATAGGCCAGATGTGGTGGCTCACACCTGTAATCAGAGCACTTCGGAAGTGCTGAGATGGGAGGATCACTTGAGCCCAGGAGTTTGAGACCAGCCTGGACAACATAGCAAGACCTTGGCTCTACTACAAGTATAAAAAATGTTCAAATAAGTTTATAAAATTAAAAAATAAATAAAAATAAAGTAATATTAGAACTGGGTACAATGGTTCACACCTGTAGTCCCAGCTACTCAGGAGGCTGAGGCAGGAGGATCCCTCAAGCCTAGGAGTTCGAGGCCAGCCTGGGTAACACAGTGAGACCCCAGCTCAAAAAGTAAATAAAGTAGTATTAGGTTTAAGTTAAAAACATTTACCTAGTTAAAAACATTTACTGTACTCCAGCCTGGGCAACAGAGCGAGACCTCATCTCAGAAAAATAAAATAAAAATAGACACTGGATTTTTTTTTTTTTTTTTTTAAGAGATGGAGCATCTCTCTGTCGCCCAGGCTGGAGTGCAGTGGTGCGATCTCAGCTCACTGCAAGCTCCGCTTCCCAGGTTCAAGCAATTCTCCTGCCTCAGCCTCCCGAGTAGCTGGGACCACAGGCACACGCCACCACGCCCGGTTAATTTTTTGTATTTTTAGTAGAGACGGGGTTTCACCGTGTTAGCCAGGATGGTCTCCATCTCCTGACCTCGTGATCCACCGGCCTCGGCCTCCCAAAGTGCTGAGATTACAGGTGTGAGCCACCGCGCCCAACCCCTGATGTCTATATTTTTTAACAGTGCTATTGAGATATAATTAACATACTAGTCAATTCACTCATTTAAAGTATACAATTTGATGGTTTTTAGTATATTCACCACGCCTACTTCAAGGTTAAAGGCTGTAACCAATGAGGAAATCATGAAAGCCCACAAGAAAGATCACAGGTTCACCAGGTCTAACAATAACACTGTTCCACAGCTGATCTTCACAGGATGGAAATTTACATTTATGAATACGTACTTATAAAATATATTATAAGTGTATATATTCATATAAAGTATTTATATTTCAGTCCTAGCTCCATATCCTCCCATCCTTAAATGTAGAATGATAATACTAATCTTAATAGAAGTTTTACTAAATTCACAACATACAGGCTGATGGATGCATACATCCTAAATTTAAATCTATTTTTTAGCTTAAACTAAAAGCCAGATATTTACTGCTTTAATTTTAGCCATCTTGGGGCATTAATGTTCTAACTGAATGAGGCTCTCAGACCACAGAACTGAAGCAACACAACGGTTACATCCTTTCCCTTCTGTGTCGCAGCCGCAGTGTGGGTGTAAACAAGAAACCCCAGGCAGCACCCTCATCCTATCTGCAGCTACGACGAGGACTCCAACACTTCTTCAACCACATGATCGCTTGGATTCAGGTACTAAAGTAGCACTTGTTTAAAATAGCAAAATTGTGGCTCCTGAATTAGCTATGCCAACTATTTTCAGTTACAAGTCTTCACAACATTTTATTAAAGTATTAAGTGAAGATTAACACGAAGAATAAAAAAAATAAATATTTGCCCTTTCTTCACATGAGACCACAGTGCATTATTTTCTTTTGTTCATTTGGTTCTCAGACTACACATACCATATTTTGGCTAGAGTTAAATTTTCCTGAACTTCCCAGAAGGGCAATGGGAAGAAAGCTCTCCCCAGAGAAAGCTTGTATACGAAAGTACAGAACAACATAACCAAGGAAGCTAATATGCTTTAATTCTCAATAATCCAAGTATGAGGTGATAAAAGACCGACTGTCAGAACAGTTGAGTAGTATTATCCATGACAGTATTATCCATGGCAGCCACAGAATCAGCATTTAGTGGCAATAGTAAAAGCACGATAGAGTCAGACTTTATCCTATGAAGATCTAATATTTTCAAATAAATAAAAATAGCAATGAAAAATTGCCCTTATTCATCTCTATAAAAACTCTTCAAGAATCTTCTTCACAGTCCTGAGCATGGTGGCATGCACCTGTAATCCCAGCTACTTGGGAGGCTCACATAGGTGGTTTGCTTGAGTCTAAGAGTTCAAGACCAGCCTGGGTAACACAGCAAGAACTTCCTCTCTTTAAAAAGTAAAAAAGGTTGGGCGCGGTGGTTCACACCTGTAATCTCAGCACTTTGGGAGGCTGAGGCTGGTGGATCACCTGAGGTCAAGAGTTTGAGACCAGTCTGATCAACATGGTGAAACTCTGTCTTTACTAAAAACACAAAAATTAGCCAGACGTGGTGATGGGCACCTGTACTCCCAGCTACTTGGGAGACTGAGGCAGGAGAGGTTGTGGTGAGCCGAGACCATGCCACTGCCCTCCATCCTGGGCAACAGATTGAGACTCCATCTCAAAAATAAATAAATAAATAAATAAATAAAATAATAAATAAATCTTCTCTTCTCCACCCAGAGTAGTCTAATTGTCCAGGGCCCATTAACACTGGGTAGACATTTAAACAACAAAAAGCCCTGTCCTCAATTCACCCAGCCTGCCAAGTCTTTCCCCTAAACAGTTGGAACATAACTGTTTATGGGAAAGGAAGTGAAGAAAAATAACACTTTAAAGCTGTAGGACCAAACTTACAGAATTATCACAGTTAAGTGAAAGCCATTTTTCATATCCTAATAGCCTAAATCAGGAAGAGTATATATTTTTTCTCAAAGTATTAACACTCTTTATCTCGTTTCCATATCCAGCTTCAGTTTTTACTCAGTAAGAAGAAGAAAAGCTGCCAGTGAATATATACAAAAGTGAAGTGAGGAAATCAGTATCTGATTAATTCATGTTTTCCTATGTTTCCACTCTGCTATGAATTAATGGTTGTCAACGACATACTATGAAAACGAGTACAGTCTTTGGGATATACAAATATTTCTTGTTCAAGGCAAAATATCAGCCCAAAGTTCAGAAACCCCAAGAATCAATGTATGTATGGTAAAAATCAAAGTACTAGTAATATTGGCCAGGCATGGTGGCTCACACCCGTAATCCCAGCACTTCAGGAAGTCTAAGTGGGAGGATCCCTTGAGGCCAAAAGTTTGAGAACAGCCTGGACAACATGGTAAGAACTCATCTCTAGAAAAATAAAAACAAAAACAAACCCAAAGTGCAAGTAATATTGAAATCTTAACTTTTCTTAGTCATAGTTTCTTCTATTATTGATGTGCTTTGACCTCCCCCCTCAAAACCCCTGCCACACAGCAGAATTTCACGCACATTTCGAGACCATGCAACCTGCTGGTTTTATGATGAAAACAAAGTATATTATACTTTTAATAAATATCATAAAATAGATACATAAGTATACTTTAAAAGATATTTTTAAAATCTCTCTAAAACTGTGAACACAATCACTGTCAAGTTTCATGTGAATCCTTCAAGAAATGTCTTAAGCAACCTAGGCACATTGAAGTCTGTATGTGTGGGATTATGAGCTCAGGTACAAATTTGGAATCACAAGTAAAACATTCTGGAGAAAATATAAATTCTTCATGAGGTGAACACCATGGTTCATCAGTTTAAGTCACACAGATTAAAAACTCAAAAAGAATCTTTGGCTAAATTACATTTGTATTCTGTTTTTTTCTTATCTTTTTTTGAGACCGAGTCTCGCTGTCGCCCAGGCTGGAGTGCAGTGGCCGGATCTCAGCTCACTGCAAGCTCCGCCTCCCAGGTTCACGCCATTCTCCTGCCTCAGCCTCCTGAGTAGCTGGGACTACAGGCACCCACCACCTCGCCCGGCTAGTTTTTTGTATTTTTTAGTAGAGACGGGGTTTCACCGTGTTCGCCAGGATGATCTCGATCTCCTGACCTCGTGATCCACCCGTCTCGGCCTCCCAAAGTGCTGGGATTACAGACTTGAGCCACCGCACCCGGCCTGTATTCTGTTTTTTTTTCTTAAAAAAGGAATTTCAGGCTAGGCACGGTAGCTCACGCCTGTAATCCTAGCACTTTAGGAGGCCGAGGCAGGCGGATCACGACGTCAAGAGATCGAGACCATCCTGGCCAACATGGTGCAACCCCATCTCTACTAAAAATACAAAAATTAGCTGGGCGTGGTGGTGCATGCCTGTAATCCCAGCTACTCGGGAGTCTGAGGCAGGAGAATGGCCTGAACCCGGGAGGCCGAGGTTGCAGTGAGTTGAGATTGTGCCACTGCACTCCAGCCTGGTGACAGAGCAAGACTCCGTCTCCAAAAAAAAATAAAATAAGAGTTTCAGTTCTTCAATATGGCAGCAATTACATCTGTTTATTTATCACAAGAAAACAGGCTGTGTGGCCAGGCGCGGTGGGTCACGGCTGTAATCCCAGCACTTTGGGAGGCCAAGGCAGGCGGATCACGAGGTCAGGAGTTCGAGACCAGCCTGGCCAACATGGTGAAATCCTGTTTCTACTAAAAATACAAAAATTAGCTGGGCGTGGTGGCGCGCGCCTGTAATCCCAGCTACTCGGGAGGCTGAGGCAGGAGAATCGTTTGAACCCTGGAAGTGGAGGTTGCAGTAAGCCAAGATCATGCCATTGAATTCCAGCCTGGGGGACAGAGGGAGACTCTGTCTTAAAAAAAAAAAGGAAAGAAAATCTGTGTTTCACAAAGATTTTTAACAAGCGATTTTGATAATGGCCAATAACCAAGTTCTATGAAAGTCAGCATCATCACTTCCTGCAAATTTCAGCATTGATTACGTTGCTGTTTTGGTAATGGATGGTAATGGACTCTATTTTTAGTTACTTTTTAGTATTATGCATCGTAGTGTAATATAGACACAAAATGTCACTTTAAAGTCCTTTTCCATTTCCAAAGTGCACCTCTTCTGTTCTTAAGTTTTTCCCACCTTGGTTCCTCTAACTTCCCGTTTTCTACAAGACCCTCGATTTTTCCCACTGCTAGCAAAAAGCTGTACCATGCCAGTTACCTTGGTTCTCCAAACACGACTGTTCCTCATGCTCACCACGCATCGGCAGAACTGTGCATTCCCAAGTCCCTTACATTATATTCTTACTTCAGTTGCAATCTGTCGTCACAAAGTAGCATCTACTATCTTCTTGTCCTGGGTACGCCTCTTTTCTAATTCTTGTTTGCCATCTGTGTCATGCTTTACTTCTCACTGGAAACAGGGACCTTTTCTCCTCTAAGGGAAAATGACCCTTCCGAAACCCACTGCTGGCCACCTTCACCGCAAAGTTTACATTAAGCCTAATTGAAGCATCATTAAAATCCTCTTTCTTGCAGTGTGGAACTGTGACGCCAAGTCATGGCTAAGAAAGACTTAGAGAACGACCAGAAAAAGATACGAAGCCAACTCTTCGTGTCTATAGTCCATAAATATATGAGATAAAGAACTGCCAGAGTTAAAAATGAAATAACATTATGACTCTTGCTTGCTATTGCTGCAACTCTTCCAAAACTTCGTGCCACACACACACATTCACACTGGATTCAGGTCGACCCCATATAAAAATGCTCAGTCTCACAATTATACTTGCAAAAAAGTGAAACAATCTTTCAGTTATCTAATATCTCTACATCTTTCGGGAGATACTCACTGCCCTTGAAATGCGTCAGAAACAACCAAGACATGAGTGAGTCGGGTAGAAGAAAAAGTTAACTTCTCCCCCACCAGCTGTCATTACATTTTTTTTAAACCGAGAGAAGGAAAAGCTGAAGCCACCTGGAGCATTTCCAGGCCGGCAGGGCGTTGGGAAGGAGCACGAGAATCGCGCTGGGCGCTCTGAGAGCCGAACCGGCCGCTCAGGCCCCTAAGGAGACCCCGCGGGCGGCACCAGAAGGAAGCGCGCGCTCCG